TTAACAATATCGCAACGATACTTTTACACTACACAGAAAACCATTCATTAGTCATATCAATGCAATACGACGTTTCATCACACTCTCCGTTCACTTCGTCAAATATAAGACAACAATCATGTCCGACATCTTCACCGAGTCCGTCTATTACTTCATCCCCACTACCCTCACCAATGTTACCCACACTATCGCCAACAACGGTTACTTCAACTTCGCAAGCCGTATCAGCCGACCATTATCCATCACATTCCCATTCCACACACTCTTCTCCATCGTCATCGTCTACAACTCTTCCACCACCCAAAACAGTGCCAACGATACGTCATGTAATGAACTTGAACTTTAAACATGAAATACAGGTAGCTAATTATAAAATGGAAATAAGCACCAACTCATTCGAACTATGGGAAAAGGTGTTGCTTCACTCTCTAATGGCTCTGAGTCTGACTGTATTAATAGCTGCCATATTCCTCCCAGATTATTTCATAGAAAAGGGAAATTTTGTGGAGAGTTATAATTCTTTTAATTATTGAATGGAGGGTTGGGAGGGAAAACGGCCGGAAGGACGCAGAAAATGGCTGCGGCTAAACATTTTTGACTGGACTGCGTGCGTGGCAATGAAAACCGGGTATGTTGATTAAAAACTATCCCAAACATTATCGCAAACAAACCGTACATTTTCTACTTATCCTTGAGCGATTTCAAAAAAGAGAAGTTGCTTCCGTAATTTATTATTAGAAATATTAGTATATTTTACTTTTATTTTGCATGCTTGCGTGGATACATGGATGAGAGAAGGGTCAAAAAAGCATTCTAATTGCATTTTAGTAATTTATCTTATACTTAATATTCACTTTTTAATTTTTTCCTTTTTGAATCTTTTTTTGCTAGTTTTACAATAGACAATTGCATAGACATTTACTTTTGTAAAAATATAATATAGCCATTACTATGTAATAAAAAAAATTGTACATATGCGACCCGTTTGTTCATCACCCCACGGCCATATCGATATTTTTATGCATCACACTTTTAGCTTGTGAGATTGTTGATCAGATTAAAAATAGAACACATGACTATTTAGGACATTTGTCTTTGCCAAGGAAAGAATGTGAGAATTCCGATTCCCCCGAATTTGGAAATATAATAAATATATATATGTACTGTACGTATATTATAATTCAATCTGCGAGATTGTGTAAAATTTGTTGTATGCCGCTGGTACTGTGGTCTTTTCTTTTTAATTTAATTAAGCATACTAATTATACGCTTATCTATCGGTCAAAAGCCTTAGTATTAGTTTGTGTAATAATAATGTAATCGATAAATAAATAAATAAATATTTGCTCGATAAAAACGTTTCTAGTGGTCAATCGAAAAAAAAGCTGCATAATGGCAACAAAAGTGGTCATTTAAATCAATTCCCTATCGTATTGTTTATCATGCTGATGATGCCTTTTTAACAATGCTGTTCGTTTATACGCTCACATATTTGTGATGGAAAATATGATCCGTGAGATTCATGTGGTGTTGGGTCACATTTTCTGAATTGTGAGCGAAAACTTTCTATCACAATGTAAGTACCGGTTATGCATGGTCGAAACTATTCGCCAAATATGATCCAATAAATTTTCGTCAAATTGATAAAACTTTAGTATAACAACAAATAACAAAATTCGTAAATTGCAACACTGATTGATTCCAGACGTTTCTGGAGCTTTTGAACAACGTGGCTGCAAGAATAATAGTCCCATTGTCTCGATCGAGATGGAAAATTGTTAC